TCGTGGGATGCTCGATCGTCGACTCTCGGGTGATGCGAGCGCAGATCGCGTCCCACCGAGGTAATGGCGGAGATCGTTATTGCCATCGCGGTGATCTCGATTGCCATCTGGATTAGCCCTGTGACTGCGGTTATCGCGACGATTGTCGCGGTTGTCTTGGTGATTATCGTCCCGAATATCGCGACGGTTGTCCTCCCGACGGCGGTTACCACCGCCATGGCCACCGTTTACGCCTCGATGGTTGTCTCGACGGTCGTTGTTGCGCGAGCCACGTGGGTTGAGTGGCGTGGAGCGGCTTGGAAGTCGGGCGATCGTGGCTTGACTCGGCCGAGACGGATGGAGCCCGGACTTGATTTACAATCTCTGCGGTGCAGGCCATGGCGTACCGTCGAGATAGGCTTGTATTTCATCGCGAACCGCTTGGGTTTCCGGTGTTGGGTAGCCGTTGCATTGTTGCCATGGTGACGGCTACATTGGCACTTGGAGTCCTGAAGACCTGTTTGTCCCCACACGCCGAAAGCATCGTTGAGGTCGCGTGGCTGGACCCTCGATCGCGTCGCACCTCTGGGTCTGCGCCGGCTTGATTTGTCGGCGATTGAACCGGTCAATATTAAAGCGCTTCAAGGCGCGCGCTTTTCTTCTTTCTGTTTACGCCAACCGCCGCGTTCGTCATTCTTGACAACATGGATCAAATCCCTCGTCTTGGCGGGAAAGATGGGAATTGTGAAAACCCTAGGGCGTGGTCTAGCGAGATCCAGATCGTGCCCAGGTGCCGTCATCTTCGTGATGTTGAAGCTCGGTGTGTACAGATGCTTTTTAGATGCGATGCGCGACGAGGAGGTGGAGTCGCCCTCTTGAATCTGTGTGGACGGATCCTTCCCGATAATCTTCTTGATCCGGATCATGTTGACGGTCGTCGCAATCATCGCGGCTTCGGCCGAGGTCGGCGCATAAAACATAGATCCAAGCGGCGTTGGGGTTATACGCGTAGTCGGAGGCGTTGTTTACGCAGCCGTATGGTTGGACCTCGTGGTTCTCCGTTGAGGCTGCGTACTTTCGAGAGCCGAGACCCGTCGCGGAGGCTGGTCGGCGATGAGCGAGCGGGCGCCCTTCAGAGTAGATAAGACCACGAGATCTGCATTTAAGTCATGCGACGACGACCGTCCGAGCTGGTCGGTAGATCTGTTGTGGGGAGAGCGGTTACCGCTTTCGTTAGGTTGACTTTGAATCGTACTTACCGAGCTAGGGTTTCAGCTGAAGTTTGGTGCCGACCCGATCGATGGAGCCGAGCGGTCGGTGTTGTCGATCTGCTTCCCTTTAAGGGGAAGCGACGACGAGTCGTCGGCGTGGTGAAGATGATGTAGACGTGGTCGGAGCCGGATGTACCGTGGTCGAAGCCAGATCCATCGTGATCGGAGCCGACGTATCGCGGTGGTCGAGCCCGACGTCATCGTGGGTCGGAGCCGATCCATCGTGGTCGGAGCCGTAGCCGATGTAGGTGAAGCAGTGGTCGGCGCAGACTGAATCCACGCCTCCTCCATGGTCATGACGATGAAGCCGTCGGAGCCGGTGGTCCAGGTGATCTGGCCGACGGTGAACGCGAGGCCGTTCGGCGTAGCCATGGAGCCGGAGGTGATGACCGTCTTGTTTGCTTGGAGAGCAGTACGCACACCCCCTACCTGGCGCGCCACTGTCGACGAAATATGGTCGACAGTCTACCTAGGGTATGCCCAAGGTAGTAGATTATCGGCGAGCAGATGCGCGCAAGCCACAAACAAGACGGTGACGCAAGATGTAGACGAGGTTTTATCTGTGTTCGGCCGCCAAGAAGGCGTAATACCTACGTCCTGCCCCGATTGTATTGTTTGTATGTTAATGAGAGATGTTTTTAGAGGATCCCCGCCCGCCTTATATAGTCCGGGGGCGAGTTACAGATCTGAAACTAATCCTAGCCAGTTACAATTGCCATATGTGGCCGGATAAGGATTCCTATTCTAACCGACCAGGATCCTGCTTGATCGCTAAATCTGCCTTAACTCCTTGCGCAGGACTCCAACCGGGTTGGCTAGGCCGCGCGTCGTCTTTCGGATGGACCGGACCCATCGATCCAGGCCGGCCCAAGCTTAGCCGTAAGGGTATAGGGGTTAATACCCCCACAAACTCCATTTTGTCTATTGAAAAAGAAAACTTTATATTTTAGGCACAATTTCATCCATGAATTATCAAAATTATAGATCTGCTATTGTTTCAAGATATCGATGTATTATTAAAGAATAAATATTGTCTGATGCAAATGTAATTGCTCCCACAAATATCATTTAGCCGGATATATATATATAAATGGTACCATTATAAGGTAACATTAAAAATATGAGCTTGGAATTATTAATGGCCATGAAAGAGTTTTTGGACGAATATTATTTTCCTATCTCCAATCGCTGGTGGTGTTGAAGCTAACCAGGTGCAACGGTGCAGCGTTCCACGAACGTAGACAAAATTTAGTTGAAAATAAAAGTTTAAAGGACAAGATACACTTTGATGGATTATAAATGAAATTGAGCCTAAAATGCAAAGTTTGAGGACTAAAACAATGATCTTCATAGTTCTAGAATGAAATTGAGCCTAAAAGTAGAGTTTGAGGACTAAAACGGTCAATTTAAAAGTTTAGGAACGAAGCTGAGTTTCGAGTAATAGTTGAGGGACTAAAATGGCTATTGTGATAACATAACCATTAGGACTTGGGTTAGCACAACCCAAGGGAAAAGAGGACATTCTAGGGTCAGCACAACTGCACAACAACATTCTAGCTAGTGTGCTCCAAATCAACGATGGTGGTTGCAGTTGAGAGGTCAAGTGTAAATAACTCTGTGGCTTATGACCAAATTTGACACATCGGAATTTCTTATGTTAAAATTGGAATATCCATCTAAATATTTTGGCTCAGACGAGATGGCAAAGTTTGAAAAATCATAATACTTTGACACATCAGAACATCTGATGCAAGTATCGGAACTTCTAATTCATTCTTTTTGAATCAACCCACGGTTGATCCTACCAGATTGGCCGACAGCAAGGCCCAATTTGAGCCCCCAAAACAAAATTTGCGGGTGCACAATGTAACCTTGTCTTGGGCTTTGTATTTGACGGTGTTATCTCACATTTCCACAGGGCTAAACCTGTTTTGTTGCACATTTAAAGAAGAGTCTAACTCCCTGAGGTGCTCAAGTGTGAACAAACAAATTTTGTTATTAAAAGAAATAGTTGATGTCAAATATTTACACTACATTGACAGTTTAGCACACAATAATATTCTATGATTTGAGAGAGCAATAATACATTGAGATATTAGAAGATTTGTAGTATTTCATTCCTTTTACCATCCACACTTATTTATTATTTTATGTGAACAAGGTAACATTTCACAAAATGATATGGATATAATCTTGCACATGGATTAAAATATTTCTATGATATATTCTTAGAATTGTATATCTAAACAAAGACGACAAAAGTGAAAAAATAGCCCTTTTGTAATGAGAACAAAAAAAAAATTTAAGCACTTTTTTATTTCCATTTTTTGTTTATTTAAAGGACAACACGATTTAGTTTTAGTAGCTTATTCAATATGTTTCCAATAATGTCCAAACGAGATCAATGTGAAACCAAGAACATTTTTTTGTTGAGGTAGCCATGTTCGCTTGAACTTATCAGCCATGGTACATTGTTTTTCTCTCACAACAAATCAGCGAACAGTACTTTTCAGCTTGGCTTTTCAGCGAAGCAAACAGTTTACATATATCTTTGATCTAGGTTACTACTACCTAGTACTTGGCCACCAAATTTCACATGTTGGAATTTTTGATAGTAAAGTTGGAATATCCTAATAAATGTTTTGGCTCGTCCCAGAACATCAGATATTTATTTCTAATTTTGGGCAACTTGAGAGCACAATTTTCTGAAAAATGATATATCATGATGCATTAAAACTTTCTATGAATAGTAACATCGGAACTTCCAAATAGCAGCAATTCAACTTTCTACAAAACAATTATTAGGACTCGTGTTGTGTTCTGTAGATCACACTGCAGAGTAAAAAAACAGTGAGAACTCGATGACAATGAGCTACTCCCTCAGTCATTTTTTTAACTGTCGTTCTCAAGTATCCACGAGTCAAATATATTTAACTTTAACCAAATATATATGAGATTATTAATATATATGATACGTATTAAGTATTATTAGACTAATCATTAAATATATTCTTATAATATATATTTATTCATAGATATAAATATCTAGACGACATTTTAAAAGGGACAGAGAGAATGGTTCTTGCCCAGGCGATGGAAGTGATGGAAATCGAAATCATGTCATTATGCTATCTGACTCATGCGCATTTTTCAGAATGTTATTATTATTATTATTATTATTATTATTATTATTATTATTATTATTATTATTATTATTATATTATAAGATAGCTAAGACGCTGTATAAGTCCGCAGCAGCCTATAGCCCATGTAAATGGCCCTACCAGCAAGGGCCTTTTCTTCTTCCTTTGCCCCCGCCCCCCCAGATTGCGCGCTCTCTCCCTCAGAGCCTCACTCTCGGCGACGACTACGCCAGGTCGCCAGGTGCCCAGGTCTTCTTCAGGTCCAGGTCGCTGCAGCCCGACACTAGTTGCCCGGCCGGCCTTCTTTGGACTCTTCGCCGGCGACGAGCACCACCAGGTACGCCCACCTTTTGGTCTTCCCTTCCTGGTTCCTGTGTGCGAAACCGAGCACCCAAACCCTAACTTGCTATTTGTATTCGGATCTGATCTACTGGGTCCGCCCCTGATTTATTTGGGGGTAGTATTCCTCATTTTTGGCAAAAGAGGAAGTCCAGCCAGATCCTCTATTCTCCCCCTGATTTCCAGCAGCTTCCAAAACTTTCTAAAGAAACAAGAAACAAGAGTCTAACACACAGCTCGTGATCCTTTGTGCCAGGGCAGCAGACGGATGGCTTCGTCGGTGCCGGCGCCATCGGGGTCGGTGATCACCGTGGCATCGTCTTCTTCCTCAGCAGCCGCGGCTGCGGTGTGTGGCACGGGCTCGCCATGCGCTGCGTGCAAGTTCCTGCGCCGCAAGTGCCAGCCGGACTGCGTGTTCGCGCCCTACTTCCCACCGGACAACCCGCAGAAGTTCGTGCACGTGCACCGTGTCTTTGGCGCCAGCAACGTGACCAAGCTGCTGAACGAGCTCCACCCCTTCCAGCGCGAGGACGCCGTGAACTCGCTCGCCTACGAGGCCGACATGCGCCTCCGCGACCCCGTCTACGGCTGCGTTGGCGTCATTTCCATCCTCCAGCACAACCTACGCCAGCTCCAGAAGGACCTCGCCCTCGCCAAGTACGAGCTCTCCAAGTATCAGGTGATGTACATGATGATCGTCGACATACCATCCATCTCACACCGTACCACATATTGTAGAGATCACACATGAGCGAACGTAGCTCGCGTCGGCGGCTAATTCCTCGCTCTTCGTTCTTCCTTGCAGGCGGCAGCGGCAGCTTCTGCGTCCACCCGCCGACCGGGCCGCAGGCGATGGCAGAGTTCATCGGCAACGCGATGCCGAACGGTGCGCACAACTTCATCAACATTGGACACTCGGCGGCGCTGGGCTCCTCGGAGGCTCCGCCACCGTGTTCGGGCAGGAGCAGTTCGCCAACGCGCAGATGCTGTCCAGGAGCTACGAGGGCGAGCCCATCGCGAGGCTGGGGATCAACGGCGGCTACGAGTTCGGGTACTCGACCGCGATGGGCGGGTCTGGCGCTGTTGTCTCTGGCCTCGGGACGCTCGGCATCAGCCCGTTCTTGAAGTCCGGTACCGCCGGCGGCGACGAGAAGCCCAGCGGCGGTCAGTAGGCGGTCCGTGTGATCGATCCATCAATCTTGTCAGGTTTGGTTTGGTTTGCATGCTGCCTGCACAGTGTTTTAGTCTGTTTTGCCTTCTGCTTCCGAGTAATTCTCGCGAGTTTGCTTCCGAGTAATTCGCGAGTTTGGTGGACTACGGTTAGTCCGTTTTCTTTGCTAGATGCACAATCATGCATGACTAATAAGGGTTTCTGCATGATGCTAGTTGGAGCGTTCTTGTTCAAACACAACTGTTTGGATCTATATATTATTGATGACTAGGTGCATGCATATGTACTCTTGAGCACCAGAGCTTTTCTGAACCTCCGATCAACAGAAACCAGCATCTGTTTTGTCAAACTGTTTTGCTTTTAGATCGGGTACTTGTTAGTATCCATGCACAGCACACGGTGTGGTGAACAAATCTCTTTTCATATTTGTGTTGATCGTGTGGTGAACCTAAATGAACAGCTTCAGTTTTTTTTTTCTTTTTTGATAAGGGTGCTCCTGTTAAATAGTTGAAACAGAAGAGACAACATCGGTTAGCAAATCCTGGAGAATATATCTTGGCACAGTCCTCTAATTTTCGACAAGTTTAAAAAAAATAAACTATTTTTGAGGGCACACAGAATTTGGTGGACGTGCATCAATCATCATATATCATATATCATATGGTGGCATGCCTAATGTCCTGTAGGTGATGAACTTCACATATATCCGCTTGCACGACAATGTACTAGAAAGTTTCCTATGCCAAAATTAAGCGATTGGTATCAAGAGCACGCACGCACGGGTCTTCTCCTGTGAAGTATCAGTGTATCAGTATCACCAGCTAGCTAGCTAGCTATAGCTTGCGACAGTAGCAGCTACTGGGATATTTTGTTTCTTTTTTTTAACGTAAAACTGGTAGAAAACTGCCATTTAATTAATTAATTAATTAATTTATAAAGTAAGTAGAGCTTGTATAAAAGCATGCGTCCTGTTTGCTTCATCGTTTCTGTGGCTTATAAGTCGGCTGATGATGTTTTATTGTGAGAGAAAAACATTGTATTATGACTGATAAGTATGGTTGATAAGATCAAGCGAACATGCTGCGCCAGCTCGCTACTAACACACAATTCCATTGTATTGGAATAATGTGCTGTCAGCTTGAACTGTACTAATATAAGTACGTACCCATAGGCCACAACATAGAAGCTTCTGTGTTGAAATAGTAGTAGTATTCTTTTTGTCTATTCATAAGTGGAAAAATTGTACAGTCGGTGTCAACCCTGCATTTAGCATGCAGTTTCTATTTACAACAGTATGTTGAACAGCTCCCATTTTTCGTGTCTAACAATCATGCTGTCTACATTTCAGCCATAGTACTCCATTTCATAGCCATATTGTTCTGTTTTTTTCCAGCTATATACCAACTGATAGACATTTGGAATTGTTTTTCTTTCAGGTTACTGACGTGAAGAAACGAAAAAAAAAATATCCATGAAGTGCTGAAGACTAAGTGGAGTGCAAGGATTATCCTAAATGTCCACCGTTAGGACGGAGGGCTAATTTTCAGTCGATTTTATATGAAGAGTGCATGCATGCTTAATTATGTTGTTTAATTAATTAATTGCTTGTTTGTCAGTTACCACCTCCATCCCTCTAGCCTCCATCCACAAGATCGTCAGATATTTCATGCAAGCATCCACGCATGCGTCTTATGTTGTTGCTGTACTGCCAAAAAAAAATTGCATGCTTGTCCTGGACTTTTTTCTTCTCGGACGACTAGCCCCCCTTTTGTTTGTAGTTTCTACTACTCGGTCTCTACTCCATGTATTGCTAGGTTGGCTATACTATGAAGTTGACCTTTGAGAAGGTGCAGTTTGTTCTGAAGACCTGATGGATGCATGTGTGTGATTCTGTGTGATATACTGCTGCTGCGTGTATCTTTGCTTTGACTTGTGCTGAGCTACGTTGGATTGAACAAGGCATGCTAATGGCCTACGTAGAGAAGCTAGGTATGTCAGGCAGGAAAGATGTATGTATCATTGCATGCATGGAGATGGAGATCCTCACTGGCTCACTGCTAGACTCGACTCGACCTCGGCAAGCATTTATGAGCTCGCATGCATCTCTCTTCTTCCGCCCCGCTGGTTTTGCTTGCAAGAGAGGCCAAAACGGCAGAAGACTATAAAGTCTCTGCACTGACCATCCATCTCTCTGAGCCTGATGAATCTCCTTTCTGCTTCTTGGTTGCAGCACCGTACCACTGCTATTGCGTGGGCGCGCATATGATCCTAGATAGGGCTAGCAGTAGATGCTAGTAGACGGCCGGCGTCGCTCCGTTGCATTGACTTATAAACCATATTTTTTTAACTAATGAATAATATTTTTTCTCACGATGCAATGGACGGCGAGACGGCGAGCACCGAGCATCCCCTGGATACTACGGCTGCTGGCATGCAGATGGTTAAATGGCACCTCGATCGAGAGCCATCAAAATGTCACATCCTGATGCGGTACTGGTCAACCCAGATTGCATTGCGTTGCGATCCATCTTTTCGTGGTGAACCCAAAAAAGATCCCAGCGCTCAGCTTTAACTGGTAGGTTTAGGGATCCTGGTGGGCAGGGCTAGCTAGCTAGGAGGAGTAGTAGCACGCAGCGCATCTGCAGCAGCCCCAAACAGCAGCAGCAACCACCTGTAGGCTGCAGCCAAGCCATTAGAAAAACAGGATTAAAAGGTCGTAATCGGGGGTAGCACTATTATTGCAGCAAAGCATCCCGCGCGCATGGCAAGCTCTGCGCGCACCGCGGTTGCTTGCTCTATTCCATGCATGCATAAATGCACGAATAGTTTTGCCCTGTGCAGGGGCGATGATACGTTGCACGAAGCTAGCATACCGCCTGTTCGGCTGGCTGGGCTGGGGCTGGCCAGCTCACTCACGCGGGCATGGTTCATATGAACAGTGTCTTTCAGCAAGAACAGTATTTTCTCTTCCAATAACTTAGTCGAAACAGTATTTAATTTATTTTTCAGACGAACCGAATAGCATGGAGGCATGGCACGGCGCATGCATGCAACATGTATCGCGGCATCCAGCAGCTAGCAGCACACTAGGGAAAAAGGCTGTTGCTGTGCGGAACCAGTGGTTAGTTTCCGTCCGGCCAGCTGAACGATCGATGCCGCCTCTCTCTCTCTCTCTCTCTCTCCCCGTACGTGCCTTCTGTTGCCTGAGAGTGCTCCTGCTTCTTAGCGGTTCGTTCGTTGACCAAGGTCGGGTCGGCTGACTGAAAATCGATCGGGGAATGCTGCTGTTTGACACGGCACAAGGCATTTTCCACGCAGTGACACTGTGCCAGGACACAACGACAGCAAAGGGAAACATGAGAGGGAGGGGGGAGATGCTGCTAGCAATTGGCAACGGCACCCATCATCAATGAATGTGTGAGAAGCGCGGGCAGGGCAGCAGGCCGCCCAAAAATGTCGTCCTGCAGGGAAAATTCAATGCACATCCCTGCATTCATAGCATAGCAGCATACGGGCAATGCCGCAGCACAGTCGCGCTGCGTAGGCGCATCGCATTGTCTAGCTAGCCCAGCCCCCAGTCTCTCGCAGACGCGCGCACAGTGCCATCTCTCTCTGGTCTCTGCTTCTGGTTTTGGTCTACAGTATGTAATAAACATTTGTCAAATCCATTTTGAACTGCAGTACTCTAAGTAACATTTCAGTAATCCACTCGAATTATTGGAGTATCTTTTTCTTTCTCCTCGTACAACAGCACAGTGACACTTTCAACAGTACCTGCATATTAAATATACTATACTCCTAGAGATAGAGATGCTAGTACTAATGAACGAAGTGGCATGCATGATGAGAGGCGATGGCGATGGAGATGGAGACGTACGCTGGCAAGTTTCGCACGGACAGAGACATGCACACACACAACTAGACGAGAATGATGCAGAGCCCAAGGGGCACAAGGCGTGCACAGGGCCGGGGATGCGATGCGTGCACTGCCACGGTTGGCTAGCTGGGGACTGGGGGGCCGTGGTACAACGTACAAGTACTCCTCTCCCTTCCTACTCGCATTCATTCATCAATTCAATTGGGGTGGATCGACGCGGGCGCATTCAGAGACGGAATGGACTGAACAACAAGCAGATTGTTGAAAGAGCCAAGAGGGAAGGATGGTGAAGGGGACGCACCGCACCGCGCCGCGCCGAGTCGAGCCGAGCGCAATGATGGCTCGGGCGGGGGGGTGCGATCGGCCGGAGGGGCCGGCGGCAATGATGACGATCGACGGTGGCAGCGACCAGCGCAGCACAGTGCGGGCGTTAAATGCGAATGCTTCGCCGGCCGGCCTCTGCACCCTCCTGCCGCGCGCGCGTCGCCCACGAGGCCTGGTCTGGCCACGCCACGCGCCTGTTGTGCCTGTGCCTGCGCGCGGCCACCCTCACACGTCTCCTCGCTCGCTCGCAGCCGGCCGCCGGGCGGGCCCCAGCTGCTCGATCAGCTTTCAGCCACCCAGTTCGTTTCATGGCTTCTCCGACTTATAAATCGACTGGCGTTGTTTTCGTTGCCAGAGAAAAACTCTATATTATAACTGATAAGAATGACCGATACAATCGAGTGAACTAGAGCTGAGCTGACCCACGCGGACACGCACCCACCACGCGGGGCCGGGGCGCGGCGCCAACATCCCTTTTGCCGCCCCTCGTGCCGTGGTCCAACCAGCGGAGTTTCTGGGCCGTTGGATAGAAACGATGGCCCATCCATCATCCATCGGCCTGTTCGCTTGGTCGTAAACGATCGTAAATTTCTAACCAGAACAGTATTTTTCTCTCACCTCAAACCAGCCAGCAGTAATAATCCACGATCATATATGATCGTTTCAGCCCAGCCGAACAGGCTGCATGCCGCCGAAGCCGTCTTCGTCGTGTCTCTCTCTCTCCTCCAGTCTTGTCTCGCTCGCCTCCCCTGCCCCTGCCCCTGCCCCTGCCCCTGCCCGTCCGCCTGCCTCGGCCCATG